TAATTCAGTTATGTTTGGTCTAGCTTGCTGTGTTTCTTTTTTTGTGTTTAATTTGATGACACCTCTCACAATCTGCTGTTGTTTCACAGCCTCCTTTCCTGTTTTATTCTATCCCTCCTTTGTATCTTTCAGCACATTTAATATACTTTAAATTCCTTTTTAGATTGTGTTATATCCTTTCTACTTCCTTAGCTGTAAATACTCCTGTTTCTTGGGTTTGTTGGTTGTCTTAGCATCAGATATATGTGCTTTGTAATTTTTTGTTTGTGAGTTCAGATTGTCTTATGTTAAACAGATTTGTTTGTTTTCTTTCCTTCTTGCCGTGCTCTTTCTGCCCTGTAAGTTAGTTTTGAAATGTCCTCGACCTTACTGTTTGAAATCCTCAGCTCTGAAGGTTTTATAGTAGGATCTTTCAGAGAAATTACCTTCAGTCCTTGAGCTCAAGATATGGTAGTCTGATTGTTGGTTGCACAGATATTTCTAATTCTTCCCTTCATTGCAGACAAAGTTTTTTTTTCTTTTATTTGAAACTTAAAAACTCTAAACTTGTAAATAGAACTTTTTCAGCCTCTGTTCCTGTCTAGAAAACCTAGTCCCCTGGTTTCAAGTAGTGCATCTGACTGTTGTTCACTGTCTCCTCACATGAGGTGTTTTGGGTTTCATTTTCCCCAGTGTTGGAATTTTGACCCTGGTTTCTGTTTTCACTCTCAGCCCTTCACATGCCCCCTTGCTTGAGCCACACTTAATTACTAGGAGTTCATCACTTGCTTTTAGAAAGGGCTGAATATCCCTCTTGACTTGTCTCTTAATTACTGTATTGATCCGTATAAAGTCAACTTTCCCCATTTCTAGCTCATCATTTATAGATATAAGAACCATCTTACTTGTAATCATTGAAACATACTTTAAATTACAAAAAGTCCACTTCTAATTTAACAATTTCCCCTTTACCCATTCTCAAAATGTACAGAGGTACAGTGGTGAATGGGGATGGGGAGTGTTTGTCTCTCTCTCTCTCTTTTTTTTTTCTTTTTGATACAGGGTCTCACTCCTGTTGCCCAGGCTAGAGTGTAGTGGCACAATCTCGGCTCACTGCAGCCTCCACCTCCCAAGCTCAGGTGATTCTCCCATCTCAGCCTCCTGAGTAGCTGGGACTACAGGCATGTGCCTCCATGCCCATCTAATTTTTTTGTTTTCAGTAGAGATGGCATTTTGCCATGTTGCCCAGGCTGGTCTCAAACTCCTGGGCTCAAGCAATCCTCCCACCTCGGCCTTCCAAAGTGCCTGGATTACAGGCATGAACCACTGTGCCTGGCCTGTTTGTTCTTTTAGTCTTTACTTTCTCCCCTTATTCTTGTGGTGCTCGCATTGAGAGATGAAGAAGAAAGAAGAGGAAAGGGGGCAAAGACTTACTTGGTTGGTTCTTTGGTAATCCAGCGATGGCACATGTGCAAATGCTTGCTCTTTCGTGCTTCTCATTAGTGTGTTTTCTCAGAGGCCATCATAGAACGAGTCACTTCCCCAACATAGGCAATATGCTTCATATTTTACCTCTTCGGACACCCTTCTTCACTCCCCTCATTTCTGGCTCAGCTCCTGCCCACAAGTATCCTTTTACTATTTAGATCATCTGACCTTGGTACCTTTTGGAGTTTCATTGATTGGGCTTAAAGTTGGACTTAACACTTGGCCCAGGGGAAGTACATGCATTCTTTTATTTCTCTGAAATTTTTATTTTGGAAAACTTCAGACCTGCAGAAAAGTTGAATGAATGGTGGGTGAATAACCATATGCCCTTCCTGTAGATTCACCAACTTAATATTTTACCATATTTGCTCGCATTTATTTCATTTTCTTGGCTGGCTAATGAGAATCCTAATGCAGGCATGACATTACTTCATTCCTATGTACTTTTGCATGAATCTCCAAAAATCAAAGATATGTTTATGTTATACTCTGAAAATTTAACATTGGTACAATACTGTTACCTAATATACAGTACCTATTAAGATTTTCCCAAATGTTTCAATACCTTTTATAGCTGTTTTTCCTCCCGACCCAGCATATAATAAAGATTTCAGTTCATTTTTCATGTTTCTTTAATCATGAGCAGTTCCGCCAGCCTTTTTTGTTTGTTTGTTTGTTTTTTTTTTACCTTTCACAACATTTGACTTTTTTTTAAGGGAGTCTACACTAGTTCTTTTGTAGAATGCCTCTCAACTTAGATTTTTTTGTGATTATTTTTTCATGACGAGATTGAGGTTAAACCTTTTTACTAATGTTTTGTTAAGGTGATATTCACCAGAGTTCTCTGTGAAAGTACTTTTTCCTGTATAATCTGTGGAGTGTCATTTTAAGACCGAATGGATTTCTTATTCCCTAACAGTCTTTTTTACCCTGTAGTTTTAGCATTCATCGATAATTTTTGCCTGTATTCATTATTAACTTGATATTTGTAGTATGGTGATGTTCTAATTCTGTCATTTCTTCTATAGATAGAAGTCGGTTTTCTTTTGTAAAGAGCAACTTTCCTCTTTTCTTCCCAAAAGAAATAATTTGTTGTCAGCATAGACTCATGGATTTTTTCATTGTGTTATTATCTATTTCTGTAATTACTCATTTTGATATTCAACTTGTTCCAAACTCGTCCTCTAGGGAGTCTATACATTCTTGCCCTGCCAAACAGTGGAAACGCAGCTTGTCCAACTGCTGGCCTTTTCCCTCCATTGGTAAAGTTGGCTCCAGTCAACTTACTGAGTTTGGACCTCTCATTGCTAAGGGAGGCACTTAACTCGTGGGAAATATATTTATATATTGCTCCCAAATGTGCAGATTCATATGTTGAATTTTCCTAAGAACACTCCTTCTGCCACACACACCTGAGATACGCCTGGTAGTTTCTGCTGCTCAGTAATCTCCCACCACAGAGTAAGATGCCTTTCTCCGCTTTCACAAGTTCTTTTAGAGCTTCCATTTACCTGATGTGATTTTACAATGCCCCATTCTCCTGGGGAAGGAAGGAGAAAAGTCACAGTTCTTTTTAGTCCTTTGAGTTCCTTCACAGAATGTCTTTTTGGGATTTTTTTGTCTTGTCTTTGGCCTGATATGCTCTCAGGCTCTCTTTTAGTCGTGTGCAGATCTTTAGAATATGAGATGTATTGGTTTGCTGGGACTGCTGTTACAAGATACCACAAACTGAACTTTGCCTCAGTAAGATGCTAGAAGTCCAAGAGCAAGGCGTTGCTGGGGTTGCTTCCTTTGAGGACTCTGAGAAAGACTCTATTCTGTGCCTCTGTCCTCGCTTCTGGTGGTTTGCTGGCTGTCTTTGATGTTTCTTGGTTTGTAGATGCATCACCCTGATCTCTGCCTTCGTCTTCACATGGCATTCTCCCTGTGTGTATCTGTGTCCAAATTTCCCCATTTTATAAGGATATCAGTCATAGCGGATTAGCTGCCTACCCTACTGTAGTATCATCTCATGCTAACTTAACCGTAACTTAATATAGTAAGTAATGTATATGCTGTATTAACTTATATATATACAGAGAGTTCCTCGTATGCTTTGGATAACTAGCCCCTTATCAGATACATGATTTGCAAAAATTTCCCCCCAATTTGTGGCGTTTCATTTTCATAATGGTTCTTTGACACTGAAACATTTTTAGTTGTGATGAAGTTCATCTTAAGTTTTTCTTTTATGGATACTTTTAGTGTCATATCTAAGAATACTGCACCCAAAGTCACAAAGATTTTTTTCTTCTATATTTTGTTCTAAAGTTTTATAGTTTTTGTTCTTAACACTTAGGTCGCTTATCCATTTTGATTTAATTTTTGTGTACAGTGTGAGGTAGGGCCTAAATTAATATGTTTGCATATGGATATCTGGTTGTCCTATTACCATTTGTTTAAAAGTCTGTCTTTTCCCCTGATTTATGTTGTCAAAAAGCCTTATATTGTCACAAGTTCCTTATATTCCATAATATAGACTCTCAATTTTGTTGATTTACATGCCTGTCTTTGTGCCAGTATCAGCCTGTCTTGATTACTGTGACTTTCTAGTAAGTTTTCAAATTCAATAGTGTACATTCATTTTTGAAATTGTTTTGGCTATTCTAGCTGCTTTGGCTTTCATAAATCTTAGAATTGGCTGGTCAATTCTACAAAAAAAAGTCCTGCTGGGATTTTGATAGTGCATACATTGAATTTACACATCAGTTTGGGGAGAAGCCATCTTGAATATTAAGTGTTCCAATCTGTGAACATTAAAAGTCTTTATTTCGATCTCCTTTATAAATGATTTTCAGTGTACAAGTCATACATATCCTTTATTAAATTTATTCCTAAGTTTCTATCCCTTTTGATGTTACTGTGAATGAAATTGTCTTCATAACTTCCGTTTCCTGTTACTCATTGTTCATGTATAGATATACAATTGAGTTTTCTTATATTGATCTTGTATTCTGCAACTTTGTGGAACTTATTTATTTAGGTTATTTATTTAACCTTACTTATTTAGGTTATTTTTCTCCCTTAGGTTTTCAGGTGGGAGGGTAAACCAGTCCCTATCACTCCATTTTGGCTGGGAGAAGACGTCTACTAAAAGGGTTGTGAGAGATGAATAAAACCAATTGAGATAAAAACTTTTCCATGAATCTTTTTTCAACAAAGACCTTGTTAGTATAGTCCCTCAGTATCCATGGAGGGTAGATTCCAGGACCTCCCTGAGATACCAAAATCCACAGACGCCCAAGTGCCTTATATGAAATGGTGTCGTGTTTGCATGTAACCTACATGCATCTTCCCATAAACTTTAAATCATCTCTAGATTACGTAGAAAACCTAATGCGATATAAATGCTATGTAAATAAACTGTATTGTTTGATTCATGGTTGCTTGAATTCACAGATGTGGTGGAAATTGCAGATACAGGGGGTGAGCAGTGTTTTAATTTTTTCATGTTAAATGTCTTGGTCTAAGTAGATTTTCTATTTCCATTGCAGCATTCCTCTGAATATTGATTTGCTGAATAGCCCAGACTTATTGGAAACAACGATTGGTGATGTAATTGGGGCATCCGACACTATGGAAACATCCCAAGCACCGAATGACATTAATGTAGCCACCAGGCTTCCTGGATTAGGGGAACCTGAAATTGAATATGAGAGTAAGTAAATGTTCCATAATACATCAGTCATACCTTTTTGTCTTCCTTTGATATAAGATATTTAAATTAGCTTCTCTAATAATATTTTTTATACTAGTTCAACTTTTAAATTTAATTCAGAAGAGTTATGCCCTCTTGCCTTTTTGACTAAAGGGAACACTGAAATATTTAAGATAACATAATTGAGGTCATCAAACGTGTGTGTCATTTATAAGACATTAAACATTTAAGAGTCTTCATTTGCTTTTTTCTAGAGTGGAAACATTTTCTAGGGCATAGGATTGAATGAATGTTTGAACATCCCATTAGCTCTTAGAAAGTATTTTGTTATTAATGAGGTTTATTATTGCCTAGGCCCACAAAAAGAAATAACACAGAAAGAATGGTGCTTTAAAACTCACACACACACACATACACACACACACATTTTTGAAGGTTAAAAGGAGACAGTAAATCTCTCATTGAAAATGTCTATATATTTGTGAGTTTAGTTTTATATGAAAGCATAACTTGTTTATAAACAGCAGTTTCCTGTTGAATCTCACTGTAATGCATCTTCATTTTAAAGCAGCTTGTATTTATTTGACTCTTGACAATTTGATTTCTATTGGAGGCTAAAATTAGCCACTACAGCGTGAAACAACTCAGAAAATTGCCCTATGTATGCTGTTGTCTCTGAGACTGTAGAATACAGCAATAGCATTTAGTAATTTAGAAATAAATGTTAGTGAAAAGTCACACAGTGCTTCTGGTTAATAGAACATGTTAAAGTATTACTAATAAGTGGTGCTAAAAATTTGTTTATTTCCTAGGAAATCACTACAAATACTCTGGTACATCATGGTTTTTTATTGACATCTAACATGTTTAAATTTTGCTTGTCAGTCTCAGGTCAGAGAAATAATAATTTAACTTATTACATTGGTAATTTCAAAGTAATTTGATTTTTTAAGGTAGTAGTCTGTTATTAGATTAAGAAAATATCCCCCATTACTATTTCTCATGTACTTTCTCTGTAGTAATTTATTTTGAATAGTCCAGTTTTGACAGCCTTTCCCTGGACTCCACTTCTTGTTAGCAACGCTTGCTCTTATTCTCACTTATATGTGGGAGCTACACAGGGACATAAAGATGGGAACAGTAGACACTGGGGATTCCTAAAGGAGGGATGGAGTGGGAAAGGGCTGAAAAACTTCCTATTGGGTGCTGTGTTCACTCTCTGGGAGATGAGATCAGTAGAAGCCCAAACCATGGCACCACGTAATATACCCTTGTAACAAACCTGTACATGTACTCCCTGAATCAAAAATTAAAATTAGGCTGGATGTGGTGGCCCGCGCCTGCAGTCCCAGCTACTCGGGAGGCTGAGGCATGAGAATCGCTTGAACCTGGGAGGCAGAGGTTGCAATGAGCTGAGATTATGCCGCTGAGCTCCAGCCTGGACCACAGAGCAAGACTCTGTCTCAAAAGAAAAAAGAAAAAAAAAAAAAAAAAGAAAAGAAAAACTTAAGTTAAATTAAAATTAAAAAAAGAAATTTGCTTTTTGTTTCTAGAAAGAATTGAGACATAGCATAGCAAAGCCAGCAGGATTTAGATTCAGCCAGAACCATGACTGTCTTAATGCGCAGAGTATTTCCAGGGTTAAAAATAAAAATAGTCTCCTTTAAAGAGATGGCAGTATTGATTTTATTTACATTCCATTTGATATCCATTACACGAATTCACAAAGTTTAATTTTTCCAGTGCTGTAATAGTGTTGTATTAGTATCACTTATTGAGTACATACTTTTTGCAAAATATGTTAGCTTAGAGTTTACATGGTAAAATGAACTAGGGATGCTTAGAAAAGATCAAATGAAATATAACTCTCATTGATGAAACAAACTCATATTGATGAATTTAAGTTCATCAATCTTGATATCCAATTGTGTATTTTATTTTGGTTGTAATGTCAAAATCCTGATTCACATAGGTAAATAGTTACAAATTGTAACTAAAATAGCTTGTGCTGCATGGCAGGATGTTCCTCGGACAAAAAAAAATGTAGCAGAAAAAGGTTTATTTTAACAACAAAAAGAGTATTCAGGATGGAGTAATTTGAAGCATAAGAAAACCAGGAGATGGCAATTAAGTAAACAGATAGGGAAGAACCAGTGTTGAATTACTGGTTCTCAGCCTTGGTTGTACTTAAAATCACCTGGAGAGTTTTAAAAACTACCAGTTCCAGAATCCTACCTCAAAAGGTTTTGTTATGATTATTCTTGGGTGAGTCCTGGGAATGAGTGTTTCTTGAAAGCTCTCCAGCTGATTCTTAATGTGTAGCCAGGGCCTCCACTCAGTTAACTGGTGGCCACTTTTAGAAGATCCCTTTGACCCAGAGGATATGATTTCAAAGTTTTCTCCTCTTTTTTTCTGATTATATAGAAATTATTAGGCATTCAACATTTTTTGTCAAGTGACAGTATAAAATTTTATGCTCACATCAGATTAATCTCTGCAAAATAAGATTATTTCAGGATAATTTTAAGTCTTCATTTAAAGATGAATTGTGTTTAATGTATTATCTTTTCAGTGGTTAGAGGACTTTGTAATGTATTTTGCCACTAGGAAGAACATTATGAAGACAAAATGCTTGTCTTGCGTCACACCTGATGGTACCAACATAAAATATGTTGATTTAGTGAATGAATAAATATATATTCTTCACAGTTTGTTCCACGTAAATTTAGTTTTAGGCAGTCAGGGCCAATGAACAAAGATGGCCAAGTGTTGAGGTTAGACATGAGCCTGGGTTGTGGTTATGAACGAAAAGGATCATGTCACAAGTGTTCTGTGCCTTTTGAGTCTCTTGGCTAGGTAAACCTTCTTAACCACACATGCTATGGAGATTTCACATCTACTTGCTTTTTAGGAGTGCTGCAGATTTAGGGTGGTGTTTCTACTTAGGATTAACTCTTATTCAGATTAATGGACAGGTAGCTGGTTATGGAAAGAAAATATATTTTGTATTTATCTGGATTATTACTTTTAATTGATGATAACTGATGTTGAGAAACCAAAACAAAACAAAACCATACCCTCACACAGCTAGCTGTGACAGCCTGGCAGACTGAGGGATTATTTTGCCTTTTTTTTTTTTTTTTTCCAGCATTAAAAGACGCCTCAGAGAAGCTCAAACAGCTTGAGATGGAGAACAGTCCTTTGCTGTCCCCTCGATCCAACATCGATGTTAACATAAACAGCCAGGTATTCAAATTTCCCCTGCGTATACCTGTTACACATCTCCAGAGCTCCCACAAATCTTTTCTTTCCAAAGACAGTACTTTTTTCTTTAACTGGGAAATCTGTCTGTGCTGATTTCTCATAAACCTGTTTTCTCATTTTAAAGGATGAAATCTGTAGATGTTCAGGAGGGAACGGGGAAACTTGCACAGCAAGATGAATTGTAAGGTGATTGCATGATTTAAAAAAAGAAAACACAGTCAAGATGACTGTTAAACCTTTTATTTTGATTCACCCAGTCTAGTTGAAGGACTTGCTGAAGCCTTTGGAAATTACAGAAGGATTTGTTTTAAAGAGGGCTCCTCTGTGGTATAAACAAGAAAGAGAATAGAATTTCCGATGCTTTAACTTCATCTATCATTCCTTTCTCTCCCCTTTAAATGTTTTTTGTTGTGGGGTGGGGAATACATACCAATTACACCAATCAAGCTTCAATTTATAGTTTGACTATGATTTTCTTATTTCTATGTTAAATAACTTATAGGAAGAGCTAAAATAAATCGAATGAGATGGAAATTTTATAATTAATCATATCAGCTACCAGATGGCCCCACTAAATGGAAGAGTTGATTTTAGGTAATGATCTAGAAATGCCCTTTTTTTTTCTCTACATATAGACAACTGATAACATGGCCAAGATGAATTTTGTTTTTGTTTTAAAGAGGAAAGGAGAATGGCTGACTCACAGTGTTCTTCCATCCTTGGATAACTAACTGGAATTTCTTTTTTTTATTATTATTATACTTTAAGTTCTATGGTACATGTGCACAATGTGCAGGTTTGTTACATATGTATACATGTGCCATATTGGTGTGCTGCACCCATCAACT